ATTTTATGGAGTGATTCGCGAGCCCTCCGTAGACTTTACCACATCAAAACTGTTCCCATTGGACGAAAGCGTAATAGAGTCGCTAGCTACTGATGCAAGTACCTTTGCTACTAGTACTTCAATTTTGTTGATAATAACTACTTGGCAAAACTATGCATTGTAGCGTTTCATATCTATTATATGATTAAACGAAATTGCAAGACTTATCAGAATTTGGTAAGAACCTCACTACTTTAAGAAGATGAGTAATTTTAAAAATTGCCATCGCTAAAGTTATAACAAGAAGATATTTTTCGCAAAAGCGCTATTTCATCCTCTAATTCATTTTTTAATTGCTAAATGATAGTACTCTCAAGACGAGAGAAAGAGCTGTAAATTGGAACCCAGTTTTGCGATATCCACCGAATCCTTTTACTTTCTTGTCCGCTGATTGTCTAATCTTCTTTCGTTCTCCTTATGTCTCTCCTCTTGATTTGTATATTCTATATCATCAGCAATTGAAAAGATGAGTTGAAGGTCAACTAGCGTTTTGTGAGAAATACTTTTATTATTTGGATGATGTAGACTATATATGGAAAATTTGGTCCTGAAACAATCAAGAATTGTTGTAGTTTACAGCTAATGCAGTATTAGCCGTTTCGTCATTTAGAATGAGAGGATACAATGATAATGAGATTGCTCAACTATAACTTTCTTACAAAAATCCGCTAAAAAACAGATGTAATGACGCATTCAAGGAAATTTAGCTGAAACTCCACTTAGTAACTAGTCATGCTTCCATCTTCGTTGGAACCTCCTTTTATACATAAGCTGAAGCTTCTAAGTTTTTGGATTTTGAAAGTACTACGCAACTGACTTACAACGATGTATCTCCAACAGTATGCCTGTCAAACATTTTCGCGTGATCTTCTAAGAGAAAAGACATAAAATTGATTGAAATTAGATATAAAAGCTAATGTTACGGGGATGTGGAGAAACACGATGGGAGGTCGTGGACTTCCGGCTAATATGAAATTCCCTTTCCGATACCATGGATCACTCGAGCGCCTTCTCCCATTGTTCGCTCTCGTCTCCTTTCGCCTTCACTATGCGGTTATTTTCACATGTTTTCATGATGATTCTGGGTAACCTTATTTAGTGCCCTATAAATTTGAAAATTGAGTTGAGAAGTTATTGTTCCGTCTTGCAGCTTCCACCGTATTATGCCGACCTCACGATTCAGAAGAAGAGGATGGTGACACAGTGAAATCGCTCATCCCTCTTCCCAGTAAAAACGCCATTGAACAGATTGGAGCAAAATTTTTGGGTTAGATTTCTATTTAGGACAAATTTATCTCTGGAACTTCACTGGTTTAGATGCTCTAATCAAGCGAGGGCAAATGGAAATGGCAAAAGGGGCCTTTAAGACCCAATTAGAAGTGTTGGAAAAAGTGCATCCTGAACAGGTTCTTTATATTTATTTCACAACAATTCCTTTAAAACTGTTGCAATTAAGTACTAAATAAGTGTAATTTTCAGTACGAGAAGTACAAAAAACTGAAAATCGAAGATCTCGCAGCCGATGCGGTAATGCAACAGGCAGAGATGGCAAAGCTTCAACCAAAAACAGGCAAGATAATGTAATCAATTGATTTTTACCAGTTTTTTATGTTATTGGCGTACTAACTCATGGATACAGAAGAGATAAAAAAAGTTGGTTTTCCTTTGCGATCCGATGTTGAGGATTTTAGACTATTAGTTACTTTTAAAGAATTTATGAAATGCTGCCATGAAAAATTTCCTTTCTAGGCAACCCGATGATAGATATGCTGAACGAGAATGGAATTCCAATCTCAAGTAGTCTGAAAGGTCTTGAACAGGCCATCAAGACACAGAAAGAGATGGAAACGCAAGATCCATCCGAGCAGGTTCGACCATCACTTAGAGGACCATAAAACAAAGCTATGCATTCTTTGTAGATAGCAAAAGCAGTGCTGGAAAAGTTCCAGCAACAAATTCTCCCCGGACTTGTAGCAAATATGATCGCAGGTCGAAATCCGTTTAAGATCCCTCAAGAAATGAGGGCACCACAACCCGAACCGAATGAAATCAGACGAATGGCATTGGTAAGATCTACGCGAGAATTCCAAGCAGAATTCACAAAACTAAGCTCT